ACAGTAAAACCTGTCAAGGCGACCACTCGGATAAGGCGACCACCTGTCTCAGACGACCACTGCAGCCAGGACCAAGGGATGCTATTTCCAGTCAAATGACCCTGGATAAGGAGACCACCTGGTAACAGAGACCACGTTTTGAAGGTCCCTTGAGCGGTCGTCTTAGACAGGTTGCACTGTACACGTAGAAGCCTGTTTTGAATACAAGCCTGATTTTCAAGATACACTGTCGGCACAACATCTGCTCAGCCATTTTAGTCTAGTACTGCTCCTCTTAAATTTGACCTTTATTACAAGACTCTTCTTTTCTTTTTCATTTCGTTCTCCCGCTCTCACATACACACATGCTCACAGTTTTTTAATTCTGCCGTCGTGAGTCCCATTCGGGACGGATACGAGAATAATAATAATAATAACTGTCGGCACACACATGTACATGTAAGCCTGGTTTTAGGTCTGACATGCAGTGAAACCTGTGTAAGGCGACCGCTCAAGGGACCTTCAAAAAGTGGTCTCTGTTGCCAGGTGGTTTCCTTATCCAGGGTGGTTTGACTGCAAATAGCATCCCTTGGTCCTGGTTGCCAGTGGTCTTTTGGGGCAGGTGGTCGCCTTATCAGAGTGGTCGCCTAGACAGGTTTTACTGTACACACATGTAGACACACCTGACTTGACTAGAAGCCTAGCACTGACATCGGCTTCAACAGGAATAAGCTCGGCTTTAATGAACCATTGGCAATTTGGCATTGGCGCTCTCCGCGTGCAGTGCTAGGTTGTGTGTGAAGTGTGCAGGTACAGTGAGCGCTGCGTTATGCCAGCATGCATTGTTATTATTCTTCATTACCACGATGGCCCATGGCCATGGGGCATGGAAGATAAGTATGATTGCTGTTGTTGTTGTAGTTCTTTTTATTTGAATTCGCAGTACCAAACGGGCAATAAGCCCAATTACATGGAAGCGAATATAAGAATGCTAAGAATGAGGCATTTGGGTGGATATTATTTCAAGTGGAAATACTGATCCCGGGAGGTACTACAAATAGGTACAATGAAAATCTGAAAAGGCCATGGTACTGTCGTTTACCATGCATGATTCACATCAGTCCACAATCAATTATTGAATCATAACAATAAAATCAGTCTGGCAAGTGAGGAAGCCAACAAATCGCGGAGGGGTGGGTTTAGGATGGGGTACAGTGTGAGCTACTACAGGAGCATTATGGATGATAGAATGCAAGTCCGTGTACAAAGTCATGTAGCCTCATGGGAAGGGGGAATGATGATTTCAGAAAAGTATGTCGATTAGTCCCTGGATTACGGCGGTTACATCATCGCTCAGTGGTTTGAGCTTCGCTGGCCTATAGGCATAGCGGCTGGAGTGGAGGTCTCTGGTTCGAGTCCAGGTACATCGTAGTCACGAATATTCAGTGTTTTACTCATGCTCATGCTACGGCAGGCGCTTACGGCAGAGGTACAATGTACTTCGAAGTAACTTATTAAGTTTCTGCCACCCATTTCTTGCCGCCGAAGAACTCGTAAGGATATACTAGTACTCGAATGGAGAAAAAAAAGGACCAAGGAACTATGCACAAGTTACGCTATAATGTCCACTAACTGCACCAGTTACTAGACAATCAGTTCATGCGATAACATTGCACAACATTGACCAGCTGGTGGTGTTAACTAACACTTGTAGTTCCTTGGTCCTATTCTCTTCATTGCTATAAATGAAGTGTTTTCTTCAGATTTTTCCGCGGCCCTTTTCAATCTTTCAAGCTGATGACTAGGGTCCTCAATCCGGTACTCTTCATCAGATTTTTTAGAACTCTGACGCTCCGCTGTAGCCTTGCCATCCATGTTTGCATCCAACCCGCTAGACACATACCGATCAAACAGCTCCTGGCTCCAGCAGGCGACGTGATAATCCCGATATGATTGAGTGAAAGTTTACATCCCACCCGCAAGACACATACATCAAACAGCTCCTGGCTACAGCAGGCGACGTGATAATCCCGATATGATTTAGTGAAAGTTTACATCCAACCCGCAAGACACAAACAACAACCAGTTCTTGGCGCACAGCCGGCGACCCGATAATCCTGATTTGATCGAGATGACATCGAGTCGTGTTCGTGTGGCCAAGGATTGTTTGTGTGATGCGGTTTGGCGGTTTATATCCGTTGCAAAGAGGAAAAAAGTGTGGTACAAGTACATCCGGCCTGGCCTAAGGCACTTTAAACTGAATTGTCCGGGGGACTCCCTAAGTTTATTGTAGTTCGTAAACCAAACGAGCAGAAGCAATACGTGACGAATGCAGTATCGAACGTACAGTCAACCATCACGGGCTATTCACCAATATCAAGGCAACCCTCTGGCTCTCCCTATTGAGTATTGAGCACTTTTGCTAGGATTTAGCAACCGATCTTATGATCTCTCTCTCTCTCTTTCTCTCTCTCTCTCTCTCTTTCTCTCTCTCTCTCTCTCTCTCTCTCTCTCTCTCTCTCTCTCTCTCTCTTTCTCTCTCTTTCTCTCTCGCTGCTGCTGATCGGGATAGGTACAGGCAGGTTGTTTATCAGTATAGTTAGGTTTTTTCTTCTTCTTTTTCTGTTATTTTGATGATGCTGCCTTTTGACACACATGACGTCCCTACGACCAGAATGGTTATGGTTATACATACATACATACCATTGCGAAGGCTATATACCTGCTTTATTCAGGTTGATGCCAACGCGAACAAGCAAAATAATAATAATAGTAATACAGTCGTCCCTCTCTAATCCGGCACTTTATAATCCAGCACCCTCGATAAACCAGCACAATTTTCAGTAGCCAAAATGTCCTCTTCATGCACATTGCAGTAGTAAATCAGATTTGTTAATCCAGCACCCTCCCTAATCCTGCAGATTTTCGTGGCACAAATGGTGCCGGATTATAGAGGGACCACTGTAATAATAACATATTATTACATGTCACTGCTCCCATTAGCCCTCGGTGGATACTGCATGCCGGCAGACACATTGGCAGCATGTTGCACTCTTTCTCAGTTTCGGGTGTGTTTCATGCACAACGTAGTTCCACCTCCACCACCAAACGCGCTCTCTAGCCGACCTCACACACCAGCAACACGACTCCAAGTTGTACAACGTAGCTGCTGCTTACCGTGGCCTTTGTTTCATGCATGGTTGGTATTTGGGTAAAGAAACGGAGCCGAATTCAAGGAAATGACTGCCATGTGGTTAGTATCTTAGTATGGTTTCGCCAATTCCACTGCTTTTTGAGCAGAGACTTCCAGGTCTTCGCGCATTATCCGCCATGGGCTAGCTCCCACCCCTTCTTTACCTTCATAACTCTTTGGCAGGGTGTGTTTGATGTTTTGATGTAAAAATAATAATATGTTAAGTAAAAATCCACAAAGGACGAAACAGTTCTGTCCACAGAATATTGAGTATTTCGCTCCTGCTCTTGTGGCAGTTGAGCACTCTCATGTGAGGTAGTGCCTTTGCTGTTTGCGTTGTGCAGAGCTCACTGACTTGTCAGTTTGAGCACTCTGGCAAGGTACGTTCGCGCCCGGTTTAAAATCTGGCTTTGGAAAAAATATTTTTCATTGCTGTCAGGTTCGGCCTCATTTCCTCTGTGCTGCGCTGATGAGTCCACAAAGGACGAAACAGTTCTGTCCGCAGATTGAGTCTTATGCAAAGTATAGAAGGTGCCAGAAAAGCTGCAGGACGAAGTTATGTTATGTTATTGTTATGTCTATTAATTTTTATTATGTCTATTTTACATCACCATACATGTACAATGTACAACATGATGTACATGTATGCCTTCTTGCTGTGGATCACAAAGGATGCCACAGCTCCTACAGTAGGCCATGATGAAAAAATGATGACGTGATGCCAACACGGTGATGTCGATGATTATGTACACGTACTATGATGTAGCTGCTGCTATCTTCATGATGTCATCCTGTAGACTGTGTGTACTAGTAGTAGTACAGTGTAATGAAGAATCTTGAATACCGGTGCTGATACGAACCAATAGAATAGCGGGGCACATGGTGCATGGTGCGAGGCCGTACCAGCACTGGAGGCACCCGACAGCCTGTAAAAAAAATCATTATCTAATCGACCTGGTATATCACGCGATGGCGATGACAGCTCACATCATAATCTTTTCCAGCACGTGTTCTGAATGTACCCGCAGGTCCAGTTGGCCATCTTCCCCAAGCTGCACCGCCCAGTTGCCCGGCATGAAACTACTTGCACGAGGCCAAACTAGGCATGCGGCGCCGCGCAGGGGTCTCTAGAACTCCCTGCACGAGAGCGAGATCTTGAAGACTTGGGAAGAAGTCGACGCGACCGAGTTGTCAATGTCGGATTTTCATCTGCATGCGCATGTGCATGGCTTATGATTGTGCTTGCGTTGCAGCGATCTGAATGCAGGCCCGTAGACAACACATCGACGAGGATCTGCTGGTATGAAGATTCCGATTAGGTAAGCAGCTACACGGCTAGATGGCTGACCGGCGTTCTAGGGCCAAGCCACGTTCCTCCCCACTGCTATCGACCGTGACTTGTCGTTGCTCGACCGCACGAGCTGACAACACGAAATATATTCAGGACACTCCTAGATCCTTGGCAGCGTTCAACTGCAAGTCACTGCCGTCAGCCGCCATCAATAGGGCATGATATGCATGACCGGGCCGCGTGTTAGCATGTCCACAGACATGCAGTACCGCTGAGCAAGGCTAGCAATGGTAGAGTCGTGTTGACAATTGGCTGGCGCTCCGAGACCCAGGACGGACATTTCCTCATGGTACGGGCTACGGGTGAGAGTCCCTGCGTCCGTCAGCAACTTCTACGAACACAGTCCGCATACTAAATGTACATACATGTGTGGTTTTACATGATTTCACGTTTGCTGGCCATCAATCCCCGCCTAGCTGCTGGAAAGCATGGTGCTCTGACAACTGCAGATGCTCGCTCAACTGTATAAGGCCTGTCTGCGCCGCGCTGCTCTTTGCTTTTGGCCAATGCTCTCTCTCTTTTGCCCTCACGTCTGAGCATCTGTTAGGTGGTTCCTTCCCCTACGCGAGAGCTCTTGACTGTGCGTAGCTAGACGAAGTCTCTAGTGTTTCAGAGGTGGCCTCTCCGCCACCAAGGACAAGGGAGAGCCTTGTAACTGCTTCGCAAGAGCGTGCGCTTGGCTAAGCGCTACCAGCCAGCATGGAGGTTCCTTGGCGAGTTGTCCTGGCAGGTCAGTCCCGAATGGTTCTATTATCTTGCTCGCTGAATTAGCTGCTGTTTCGAGGTAGATTACGCGCGCCATGTATCTGTTCGCTTTCAAAGTGATCGAATTATCACCTCGCCATTCGCAGCAATGAAGGCCTAGTTCACAAGTTCACAGGCTGACCATATTTCGCCTGGCAATACAGTGCAATTCCCCCAAAAAAAGCCTCTACCGCAGCACTTATGCCCATGCGGCGGCCTACGTCTTTAAAACTTGCCATCTCTCGCACAATCTCGTACCGGGCAACAATTATTTGTCGGTCTATCTCTTCATCCCATTGCCCAAGCACCACCCGGCACTGAAGACTAGGAAATTCACTGCTGGTCCAAGCTGAGTTGTCGTGAGCACTGGACATAATACCGCCGGCTCTATAATAGTTTAGCTACATGATGTTGGCTGTGTTCCGTTAGCGCTTGTACGTAGTCCGTCCTGCGCCCGACGAATCTTGTTATTATTATTAGTATTATTATTCTTTTATTCCACGATGGCGTGACGCCAATAAGGACGATTGATAAGTGTGATAGAACTGGTACTAACCAGAAACAGCTAGATGGAAATTAACCGGGGAGGCAAGAAGCAATTGATCACGAAAAACAAGCAGGGGCAATAACGTTTGCAGGGGTGATCGAGATAGTGTTGTACAACGTTCGAGATATCAGAAACCAGGGGGGTGCGTGGAGCAGGAACAGGTACTGCTCAAAAGAAGACTGGATGCATTGTTTCGGAAAGAATTTCTACGAGGTTGGGTTGTGATGTCGATAGGGAGTGAGTTGCTGCAGAGGGTGAGGGCACTGTTGATGGAGGAATCTCGGTGCCTGTTTGTGTGTGCGTTCCCGATGGAGAGTAGGTCCTTGTCTGTCGAAGGGTGTATGGTTGGCGTTGACGTTGTGGTGCAAGATGTGGTTGTTGCAGGTGTGTTAATAAAAGTAGTTCGTGTTGTCCTGCCTGCTGGCTGGCTCACTCTTCATGGTTGAACCCAAGCGCCGCCTCGTTGCGCTGCGAGATATGGTGTCCAGTAATGAAAGACAACCATGTGCGAACTGGTAAATGCACTGCTAGAGGCGTGTTCAACGTGCGATGGTATCGCGCGAGTGTCTGACATTTGGCCAGCCTTTACTAGCCAAGCACTGTAGATTGTGTACGCTAGCGGTGTAGGCTAAACCATGAGGGTTCGTGTTGGAGTGAAACATGTATTTACCTTTCCAGCAAACCCTGTATTGGGGACCAGATCTGATTTGACAAAATCTCCCGCGGAACTTTACTCCGATATACCGTCCCCGTATCTTGCCGGCATGCCAGGGTTTAGGCCGAACAATGTAGTCCTAGCCGCCCCGCGATGCGATTTGATCATGATTGATTGTAACAATAGGCGCGCGAGCCTACGGTCCTGTTCAATCTAGCAGGTTTGTGTCCGTTGTCCTTCCGACTCTGTTTGTGCAATGCGAAATTTATGCCGCGCGAACATTCTAGTCTCGATTTCCTTCTCTCCGCTTGACCTGACCCATCTAGATTTCTGCTCGTCAGCCTGACCTCGACAGTGCTGTGAAAGCTATCAACGGTGCTGGTACAGTACATGGTACAGCCCGGACCCTGGCGCGTGATCCGTGGCCGCCATTTTGAACAATGACGCTGCGGTTTTGCTAAACAAAAATGGCGCGGGGCAAGGCGCCACTGAGCGACGCGATCAATTTGAACTAACTTCGCTTAGCATAGAGCAGCATAAATGTAGCCTGGCAGAGACTGAGACGCTCGGGGTAACAAAAGAGAGAGAGAGAGAGAGAGAGAGAGAGAGAGAGAGAGAGAAGTAGAATGCTTCCTCCCTAGTTGTTGTTGGTACCCTACGAGATTGCCTGCACCGCGTACCTTTCCCTGTTGGGTCTAACAGTTCATAGCTAGAACACACACACGCGCACACGCATACACACACACGCGCGCGCGCGCGCGAGCATACACACACACGCGCGCATACTCACACACACATACCCGCACGATCTGACACTATCCTTACAACCGTATCTGTCACGGTACTCGTTTAGTTTTCACGCTCCTCGAAGCGCAAATTACTCCAGTGTTCGCCCAATACATGTACATGTATTAGAATGAATTACATCCTTTCCGTGTGACAACCCTCGACGCCTCGTCTATGGGGAAGAGGTGCCAGTACAGGCGAGTTGCTGGTCTTCGACAATATACATGTACAAGTCATGATGTAGTTATCTTGCTGGCTGACAGCATGTACATGTAGAACAAGGTGGAGACCACCGTGTTCGGAAACAGTGATCTTACTACATGTACAACCTTTGTGGTTGCAAGGTTTATCTATGTACATAATAGTTATCTTGCTGGCTGACAGCATGTATAACACGGTGGAGACCACCGTGTTCGGAAACAGTGATCTTACTACAACCTTTGTGGTTGCAAGGTGTATCTATGTGCATGTAGTTATCTTCCACGGTTCACATCTAACATGATTGTATCTGTCGTCCCGCCATGCCCTTGTGGTATCGAGCACTTTTTGCAAGAGTTTATCTAGTATAGTCTGTGTTGTACATGCATTAGTAATTTACTGGATCACTAAAAGAGCTTAGTAGAATGGTGTGATGTTTAGCAGTCACTCAACAGTTTGCCAACGCATCGCGCGATGCAGGATTGTGTCGATCTGTCCTTGGTAACTTTTTTTTAACAGCGATAACTTTCCCTGACGCTGTACCGCATCGCAGGGGAAGGGGGGCTTTGTTTCCTCGTACGTTACAGATTGTCAACCATTAGTGATCTACAGAGGAGAGCAGGAGGGTTGGAGGGCTCAAAAGAGGGTAGAAAATGCGGAGTTAGTGCCATGTGTGACACCAGACGGAAAAGAGGTGAATTCATGAAATGAGCAACTCGTGCAAGCGTGTGAATTCATAACATAAAATGCCTAATGCCTAACATAAAAATTTGTAGGAAATTGTAGCTGGGTTGATTTGGCGACACAAGTGTGAAGGTGCAAATCAATCATCGTGTACTACCTGTTGCGCTATCACAGGTTTTGTTACAACTAACTTTTACTGCGTTGTAGTTATCACCTGTTTTGCGCTACCCTTTGCGTCTTTCGCTATGCCTACCACACACTTCTACGACGAAAGGTGATAGATGTCGCGATTGTTTCTAGCAGATTAGCAGCTCCTTGGCTTTGCACACGTTGGGTTCGGATTCTCACGTGTCGTTGACACTGTGTATACACCAGTGCTCGAAGTAGAGTACAGTTGTTTTGCTATTTGCCAGTCAGGCCTGCGTAGTGCGACTCAAACGTTCCTGCCTGTGCTTCCAAAGTGTTGGTTGGTTCTCAGTAAAAAATAATGTTTGGTTTGCTGATGAGCACCAAACGCACTTTTTAGATTCAATGCCAGGCAGGAAGGAAGCGTTCGAGGCCAGAGCCACCCCAAGAAATGGGTTGTTTTCGTTCTGCGTTGGTACACGGTTGCAGTGGAACAGCAGTCAAAACTGATTCGTTGAGATACCGCCGGTACTATGTTCGCCTCCGCTACAGCTTCGGACTACAGTAGTGCCCATTGTAGAGATCTGATTGCGTACAATGGACCATGCAGGAGTTGAACGAGTTAGTTCAAGGTTGCATGGGAGCAGGGTAGGTCAGGGAGCCGTGCAAACAAGGGTTTAACTGTTATGACTCGGCGACTCCTCAGTGCTTGGGGCGAGCAGTTCCTGCTCCCGTGGCGAACATCATGCGAATTCAATGTCAACAAACAGCCATGGGAACTCCCTCGAACGAATTGCATTGTTTGTAATTACCGATTTCTGAAAGCAAGCAAGTCCCCCCCCCCCTTCCCATTAGATAGTACTTGTACTTGTAGTTGTAATAGATGATCCTTGTTTGGTTGAAAACACGTTGTTCGGTTGACAGCATGTTACAGTAAAACCAGTAACTAAGACCACCGTGACTAGCGACCAGCCTGGTACTACAGTAAAACCTGTAACTAAAGACCACCGTGACTAGCAACCAGCCTGGTACTACAGACCACTTCGCCAGGCACGGACGGTCTCACATTCATGGTTGTGCGGTGCAAACCTCTAACTAAGGACCACCTGCCACTAAAGACCGCTTTCTCTGGCCCCAAGGGGCGATCGTTAGTCGCAGGTTTTACTGTACAAGGCGGAGGATGCACTGTGTTCGGAATTTCCGAAACAGCGCTCCTTTCTACAACCTCCACGGTTGTGGAGTGGAAGCCGAACAGGATAACAAGCGATACATTGCCGAATCTCCTCTGCTTCTGTGTCTGTCTGTCCCTGCAGTTTGCGTCTTCGCAGCCTTGACGTCAGCACAGAGTAAGTGCATGCTTAGTACTGCCAGGGGCGGAGCTGGTCCCCTTTTAGGGCGGGGGCCCTGGGGCCCGGGGAGGGGAGGGGGGGGGGGGTGCACAGCCGCATAACATGTGCATGTATGTGTAGCCGGTGCATGTCACTCATGGTAATTTATATGTGCATGCTGAACCTAGGTCGAAATTTTTAGGTGGTGCATGTGCCCCGTGGCGTGGGTGCAGGGCTCAAGCTTGACCGCGTCACGCGATCGGATTTCATTGGGCATCACTGTACTTGAAGTAGCGTATTTTCCGGAGTATAGTGCGCACTTTAGATGTGCTATTTTAGGCCCTAAATTGCAGGTGCGCACTATGCTCCGAATATGAAATGCATGTACTTCAATGAAGATTGGGAGTGCGCGTTATACAAAGGTGCGCACTGTCCTCCGAAAAACACCGTAGTGTAGTGGACATGGAAATCCAGTCGATTGACGGGGGCCGGCGCCCTCAGCAGCGCGTACAGAACAGCGCTTGATCCGATGCGCGCGATCTGCAGCATGTCTGCTCTGCTTATCCACGGCTGCATGGCCAGCGCCCTGGGGCCGCTAGACGTGCGACCGGATTTCCATGTCCACGCCAGTAGTATCCACTAGAGAGGTTTTAAGATGCACGTTATTTCCGACGTGACGCGCAATTTCACGTCAAATTTGGGGTAAACTGTGACTTCAAATCATTATTTCGACGTGAGCTGCAGGTCACTCGCGTTGTTTTTCGACGCGCCGGCCAAATCATCGTAACGCGAGCTGAACTTTCGCATCACGTCGGAAATAACGTGCATCTTAATTAAGGTGTTAACCTCTCTATCACCGGTATAATGCAATGTACCTCCCTCCGTACTGCTGTAGCATAATGTTTTCCACGGTATTAGCATGGCTATGGTGTAGCCCTTGGCGGATAATCCCGGCAGAAAACTTGGCAGCATTTTGATACTTTTTCTGGTATATTTCACACATGATTGGTATGTGGATAAACTTAATCTCCGACTCGTGGCATGTGCACGCAGCGCTAACTAAAAAAAGTGTGCGGAGCAGCCCCACAGGAACGGAGCAGGAAGTGCCTGTCCGGCATAGGGTTTCAACTTTGTATTATTTTCACTCTGCTTTTCGAGCAGAATCCGCCAATTCTTCGAGCATTATCCGCCAAGAGCTACTATGGAGAGTTCAGTGGATTTGCAACCCGCATGTACTGTAAAAGCAGAAATTTTCGGTGGTGTTCTATTTTCGGTAACTTCGTGGGGGGGGGGGGGCGAGTTCGGTACCGACAATTTTTACCGAAAATAAAACGCACTGAAAGTTTGGTTGCATGACATGTGCTACATGTACATGTATGTATGCACTGCAAGTACCAGTACTAGAACACTTACCTGGAAAGCGGGTTTACCGAAAATTTCCCTCCACCGAACCGCCAATTTTGGAGAATACTGAAAATATTCCACCACCGAAAATTTCTGCTCTTACAGTAAACCGACTCTAGCTCTGTCTCTAGCTCTGTCTGTAGCATTGTGTTCTTGTCACAACTACATGTAAATACATTAGGCATTGGCGGATTCTGCTCGGAAAGGTAGAAGATTCTGCTCGAAAAGCAGTGAAATTGGCAGAACCATACAAACCTTATGGCGGGCAATTCTTCGAATTCTGCTCCATTTCTTTATCCACATACCAAACATGCATGAAACTTACCAGAAAAAGTACCGAATTCTGCCAATTTTTCTGCCGCCATTATCCGCAAAGGCCTAAAATACAGAGGCCAATGGCAATGGTACCTCACTAAACTATTACAATGTACTCGATTGAAGTAGAAATAGTATTGCCTTCTCCCCCTGGCCCCGGTCACTCAACAACGCACCGTTCAGTTAGCTTCAATACTAGTATTCACTTGTCAATAATAAACGGCGAGGGCACAGGAGGAGAAAGACGAAAACAAGACTCGACAAAAAGACAACGGGAAAGACTCCCGGGAAAAGACTCAAAGAAATAATAAACAACCAACAGTTATAAACAGAGAAAAGGGCGACCATGTGGACTACACATGCCAAGATTGGAGGAATACAATACAATTGAAATTGCATAAGAGCAAGTATTTACAATGAGTACTGTGTGTGTGTGTGTGTGTGTGTGTGTGTGTGTGTGTGTGTGTGTGCGTGTGTGTGCGCGCGTAAAGTTAAACATTACGCAACGAACAGCTCCTTCACTGCCTCATCCTCCTCCTCCTCTGTGGATGCGGATGTGCCTGAGTTCCACTTGCCGCGGAGTCCATCCGCCAACTTTCTGAGCTCTTCATCGGGGATGTTGAGGCGTTCCTCACCTCCCTCATTCATCTCCCTCATTCAGCGCTCTCATTGTTGCGCCGGTCTTCTCCACGGCGTCCACCGGGCATACGCCCAGCGTGCATTTGTATTCGTTTTGCTCTCTCCACCATGACGCGGCTAACACAAACATGGCATATTGCCGAGTCTTATTCATTGTGAAGTCGTCCATTTCAATCGTCGATGTGGCTTTTACATAGATCGGTCGACTCCCACCTTCTTTCCACTCGAACTAGGCGTCGACAGCTTTGTCGGGAAGAAGTTGGGCGTTAGCTTGCCAAACTAGGAGTCGACAGCTTTGTGGGAAAGAAGTTTGTTGTCAGCTTGTCAACTCGCTCGGAGCTAATGGCACACCTCGCGGATGGCGACACTTTAATCGCCGTGACTGTCTTAACCATAATTATCACTTAGTTCTATGGGCACCTCCACAGTCACTTGGGCGTTTGGACCTTTCAGGCAATGCCCTCGCACAAGAACGCCGGTGCGGTATTTTCTGGGTGAAAGAATGTTGCACCAGGTGCGAGGTCTGGATATGTCCTCCCTCGGACCTTTGTGCCGCGGGTTTGCAACCCCTTCTCCACTGCACCAACTATAAAGGTTTTGGGAACGTTGAGGAAAACATGGTCAGGTAGTGTAACTGTACACAACACTGAACTGGAGAAGTCACGGATACTGAGTGAAGGATTGGAGGGTGGTTTTATAGCAAGAAAGCAGTCATTCTGCTTCGTCATAATCGCCACCGTTCAACCATCACTGCATCAGGTGATGAGGGTCTATCGAGGATCGGCCGAGGGCAAGTTGGATTTTTGTATGATGTAAGACGTGCGCGAACACGCTGCGCAGTGCGTTCGTTGATATGCTCATTCCAGCATGTGATGTGGAATGATCATTCTCCAAAAAGAATCGTTCTGAACGATTCCCATTCTGGAATGGGATCAACCTAACGCACTTTTTTGACCAACCAAACGGGCGAGAATGATTCCGAGTGATTCCAAGTGACTCCCATTTGGGAATGTGACCAACCAAACGTAACCTGAGTCTTGTAAAGTACCAGTTGTAGAATTTACCATGTCACGTCACGGGCGAGACCGAGGCTCCGACTCCGAGTCCGAGTGGGTTCTTTTGCTACAGTTGTCCGGCCTACGAGGCTTTGGCTCCGGTTTCCTGACTCGATGCTTCGTTCAGCCTTAAAAAAAACCATCCCAGCTGCTCGTTCTTCATCTTTTGCGCATTCTCGCCTGTCCTTGACTTGGCCTTTTAGTCTTCGTCTTTCTCCACCGACTCCGAGTCGGTGCAGAACTTGGCAATTTTCGTCGTCATCGCATGCTGTTGTGGAATTCCACTTCTCGGAGAAGCCCTCTGCCAACTTGCAGAGCTCTGCATCTGCAATGACGAAGGCCTCACCGTCCCCTTCTTTCATGACCCTCAACGTCGCTCCGGTCTTCTCAACCTTGTCGACCGGACACGCACTCAGCGTACATTTATACTTCTTGGTATCGCGCCACCAGGACACAGCCGACACGAATATCGCATACCGTTGAACCTTGTTCATGGTATAATCCTCAGCGGTGAGAGTTGACTGTCAACTCCCACCTTCTTCCCATCGGCGACGGGAGATGATAGCTTTGTAGGAAAGAAGTTCGTTGACAACTTCTTCACTCGCTCTGATATAATTGCACGGCGAATGGATGGAGAAACCCTGATTGCCGTTTTAACGATGTCCACTAGGTCCATCTGTAATGCCTTCTTGCATATCATTACACGCAGGCGAGCTGGAAAGTGTGCGACAACGCGTCGAGTCCACGATCTGGAGAGACTATGTAGCCTTGACGAACGAAACTTATCGCATTTACCTGGCTAAATACCCGTTCGAGAGGGTGGCACTGCGTGACCTCGGCCTCACGGCGCAATTTTCCGGTTTCTCGGGATTTCGAACCAAACTGGCCACCATCCTGCAGCTCTCGCTCACCGTCCCCGGCTCGGCAGGTAACAAGTTCAGAGGCCTGGAAGAGATGTCACAGACGTACGCAAGCACGGTGGAAGCGCAGCTCATGAACCCGGATCACTTCATGCACGGCTTGCACAGGGTTCTCACCACCGACAAAGACTTTGTGATTGGCGTGCTGAAAAACAACAACCACTCCATTCGAAAGGTTTATGCAATTCTCAGAGGAAATTCTCTATAGAGTATGAGGTTCACCGCACGCACGCCCGCGCGCGCGCAGTCCACACGCTCAACAGAATGGATGAACCGCTGAGCAATGAAGACGTTGAGGATCGTCTGCGGCACGTGAATGGATTTGTAGGTGTGTGCAGCTACGATTTGCTGGCTGATCTGCGCGATGGCGAGTTTTGTGTTGCCAACACGGATAACGATTTTTCCGTACTAGCGTGTTGCACAAACTGTGTACAAGAATTGGTTCCTCTCTCAGGCGCACCAGCATATTCACACTGGAGCGTTGTCTCGGTGTGGAGCTCGGCACGATGGAACAGTTTTCGAACGTGAGATCTCTGCAAAACTCAGTACAATAACATTTTGTTCCCTAGCTTATTTGCGTGCATGGCGGCGAGATGCTCGCGAAGTACGAGTACCCAGCAGCTACGGAAAACTATCTTCACTTAGGATACGTTCTCATGGAAATCCCCGCAACAAAAATTCGCGTACTTGACTTGATTTCTCTCCCACCCCCGGCCTCTACTCTCTCTGTTTTGGAGCAATCGTAGTAGAGACAGTGTAGTTCCACTGCGTGCCATTGTGCTTACGTATGTAAGACTAAGAGTAAACCGCTTCAGATGGAGGAAACTAAATTCGGCGTGGGTATGGGGACTTCCCCCACAAAAACAAAAAATTAATAATAAAAATTAGAAGTGCCTGGGTCCGCCAGCCCTGCGGAACTGCATTGTACAGATGAATATGGCACGGTGCAAGGTCCTAGCTTGCATGGCCCAATGCATTCGAATGTACATGTGCGCGCGTGTGTGTGTGCGTGTGTGTCCGCATGTCTGTCCCATGTGTGTTTGTGTGCACTGCTTGCACTGTAGCTTGCCGGAATCCACCGTTGGCGACGTTCGACGACGGCTTCAGCTACTACACGAACGCCAAGACGGGCGACCAAGAAGACTGGATTCGCAGTCGTTCCGCCACGACGTCGGTGGGAACCGGACCGACGACCGACCACACCACAGGCACAACGGCAGGTAGGGAACACGTTTTGCCATACTGCAAAAAGTTCTTTTTTTAGGTCCGGGGGGGGGGGTAGTTTCGTCGGGAACCGGACTGACAAGCAACCACACCACAGGCACAACGGCAGGTAGGGAACACGTTCCGCCATGCTCCAAAGTTCTTTTTTTAGGTCCCGGGGGGGGGGGGTAGTTTCGTCGGGAATCGGACAGACAACCGACCGCACCACAAGCACAACGGGACATAAGGGACGGGTTCCATGCTTCAAGGTTCTTTTTCGGTCGGGGGGGGGGAGGTAGTTTCGTCGGGAACCGGACCGAGCTCACCACAGGCACGCCGGCACGTAAGGGACGTGTTCCATGGTTGAAGGTTCTTTTTCGGTTCGGGGGGGGGGTGTAGTTCAAGAGTGCATTGTTTTTGCTGGTTCCTGGAGGAATCTCCCCACCCGTGCCCTCCCATTCGTTACAATCAGTGAGCGTGGTGTCCTCCATCCGCCTTGGGTGGAGCCATGAGTCTTCTCCGGTTCTCTGTGCCTTTAATAAGACTGCAATTGCCACTCCTGCTTTCTTCCTCTGTGTTCTAGGCCATTATCTATACTTGGAGGCCACTGGTGCGTCTTCCGGTGACAAGGCGATTCTGCTGTCCACCACGTACAACAACACGAAGGTTTGTTGCGTAGCATACTGGAAGTGACCCGCTCGTGTGTGTGTGTGTGTGTGTGTGTGTGTGTGTGTGTGTGTGTGTGTGTGTGTGTGTGTGTGTGTGTGTGTGTGTGTGTGCTGGGATTTCAGCCTTGCAAGCTGTTGAATGGTGCAATCCCAGCACAAAGTTGCTATGGCTAACATAGCTGTTCGCTATCATCGCTTTCGCGATGGGTGTGTCTGAGGTCTGAGGTGTGTGTGTGTGTGGGTGTGTGTGTGTGGGTGTGTGTGAGTGTTTGTGTGTGTGTGTGAGTGTTTGTGTGTGTGTGTGTGTTTGTTTGTGTGTATATGTTGATCTATTCCGCTTTATCTTTCTTGCCACATGTGTTGTATGTGCACGTGTGTGTGTGTGTATGTGTGTGCATGTGTCTGTCTGTCTGTGTGCATGTGTGTGTATGTGTGCGTGTGCTTGCTTGTTCTCTCTTTCTTGCCTGCGTCTGTTCATCTCCTCCCCGGCATCATCATCGTCGTCGTCGTCGCCGTCGTCGTTGTACCTTTTCCCGGCAGTCATGCCAAATGAGCTTCTGGTACCACATGTATGGTAGCCAGATTGGCACGCTGCAAGTGATGTACAAGGAGCTGAGCGCCACGGCAACCACGCAGCTGTTCACCAAGACTGGTGACCAGGGCAACAAGTGGATCCGCGGCGTCGTCACTCTGCCGGCTACGTCCAAGCTGTTCCAGGTGAGGCGAGTCAGCCCATTGCGCAATGACGTAATTTGTATCATAAACACCCCACCCAGCCACCTGCACCTGGGCATGGTCATCTGGGGGTGTTGAACAGTGCATTCCTGATCCCAGTGTACTCACATAACACCCCACACAGCCACCTGGGCATGGTCGTCTGGGGTGTTGAACAGTGCATTCCTGATCCCAGTGTACTCACATAACACCCCACACAGCCACCTGGGCATGGTCGTCTGGGGTGTTGAACAGTGCATTGCTGATCCCAGCGTACTCACATAACACCCCACACAGCCACCTGGGCATGGTCATCTGGGGGTGTTGAACAGTGCATTGCTGATCCCAGTGTACTCACATAACACCCCACACAGCCACCTGGGCATGGTCATCTGGGGGTGTTGAACAGTGCATTGCTGATCCCAGCGTACTCACATAACACCCCACACAGCCACCTGGGCATGGTCATCTGGGGGTGTTGAACAGTGCATTGCTGATCCCAGTGTACTCACATAACACCCCACACAGCCACCTGGGCATGGTCATCTGGGGGTGTTGAACAGTGCATTCCTGATGCCAGCGTAGTCACATAACACCCCACACAGCCACCTGGGCATGGTCATCTGGGGGTGTTGAACAGTGCATTGCTGATCCCAGCGTAGTCACATGCATTACTCATACCTTCCGTATTTGGCAATGCGCAATGGGCTTATCTCTCGGCGCTGCCGGTACGGCCTACTGCTGATGGTTTATTTTAATTTTATTTTATGGACTCGGACGGAGAGCCAGGGATAATTTTATAAGTGCGAAGAAAACGTTCTAGAGCTGATTGGCAGCTAGTCGTGGAACGTCAATACCATCGGTCAGTGTCGTGCAATGTTTTGGCATGACTCTGATTGTCAAGTAACTGGTGGTGTTATACCGTAACCTGTAGGTGCTTTTCTTTGTTTACTTGTTGTCATTTACTTGTTGATCCTTGAGGGGTGGTGGCGTTCCTACGGATGCGGAAAGCCCGGCTTCCTGCCGAGTCTCATGCGAACCGTGATTTTTTTTGTCATTAATTTGGTTTCCACTTGTGAACATCTCCATCCCCGAACAGGCTGTTGAATCCATTACTGCCAGCAGGGCATTGCCCTGATGATGCCCAGCGGTCGGAATATTGGCAGTAGAGTAAAGCCTGTGACTAGCGACCCCCCCCCCTTGGGGCCAGAGAAGGTGGTCTTTAGTGGCAGGTGGTCCTTAGTAAGAGGTTCGCACCGCACGACCGTATGTGAGTGCGAGACCGTCCGTGCCTGGCGAAAGGGTCGGTAGTACCAGGCTGGTCGCTAGTCACGGTGGTCTTTAGTTACAGGTTTTACTGTAGTAGCAGGCTGGTCGCTAGTCAGGGTGGTCTTTAGTTACAGGTTTTACTGTAGTACCAGGCTGGTCGCTAGTCAGGGTGGTCTTTAGTTACAGGTTTTACTGTAGTACCAGGCTGGTCGCTAGTCACGGTGGTCTTTAGTTACAGGTTTTACTGTAGTACCAGGCTGGTTGCTAGTCACGGTGGTCTTTAGTTACAGGTTTTACTGTAGTACCAGGCTGGTCGCTAGTCACGGTGGTCTTTAGTTACAGGTTTTACTGTAGTACCAGGCTGGTCGCTAGTCAGGGTGGTCTTTAGTTACAGGTTTTACTGTAGTACCAGGCTGGTCGCTAGTCAGGGTGGTCTTTAGTTACAGGTTTTACTGTAGTACCAGGCTGGTCGCTAGTCAGGGTGGTCTTTAGTTACAGGTTTTACTGTAGTACCAGGCTGGTCGCTAGTCAGGGTGGTCTTTAGTTACAGGTTTTACTGTATTTTCTCCTTGTGGTGCAGCTGAGAGCTGAGAGCTGCCTGTTCAGGGATGCAGGTGTTCACAAGTGGAAAGAAAACGCTGCAGTGAAGTTGGAGAGTTTTAAGGAAATTTATTTTCCACCATCGCAAAAAAAAAAAAATTCTTTCTCGCTGCCCAATGGAATGCACCATGGGTCCATTTCTCGTGTCTGAGTACATGTCGTTTTGGATGATACCGAGAAGTGTTGTCCACCTTTCTGGGGGAACGTGTGTGTGGGTGGAGTGGGGTGGAGGTCCCGGAAAGAGTATAGGGATGGATGCCATGGGTGTGTGTGTGGGGGGGGGGGGGAGTGTATAGAGATGCCTGACATCTGGACTTTCCTGGCTATCTTTTGCGGGTGGGGTCTCCCATGCCACTGCTGACCTCGTGTTCTATTGTTGCTCTCTTCTCCCGCTGTACGTGTGTGTGTGTGTGTGTCTGTGTGTGTGCGTGTGTGTCTCTGCGTGCGTGTCTGTGTCTGTGCGTGTGTGTGCCAGATTCAATTCGTTGCAACACGTGGCAGTGGTTTCCGTAGTGACATTGCCATTGACGACGTCGCGTTTGCGTCGGCGTGCTGCATGACCTACGGTGAGTGTTGTGGATGCTGCTGCATGCTGTTTGCATGGTGTCTGCATGGTGTCTGTGCTGTCTGCATGGTGTCTGCATGGTGTCTGCATGGTGTCTGCATGGTGTCTGCGTGCTGTCTGCATGGTGTCTGCATGCTGTCTGCTTGGTATTTGTTGGTATTATATTCTGTGGCGGTGAGGATATCCCGCTTTAAAAAAAATCTTGAACGAGGCGTTGCATTTCGCGCCGGCCGGCCGCACAGCGAGATATGCGAGAAAAGATTCTCGCGCAACATGTTCAGTTGTGAATGTGGCACATGGTGTGTTCTTTGTCGTTGTTTCTCTTCTTGGCTTCCTCGGTCAGTTTTGAGTCTCGCCAGTAGGTGCGCCTGACTGCGGCCATCCAACTATATCATGAATCATGAAGTTCATCTCGTTGAGTGGTGTTTGATTTGCCAAACGCATGCTATGGAGAATTCATATTTTCAATGACCATTGGTTTACAACCATAGCATGAGCGATAGGCCATAACTATCGCTCACGCTATGGTTAGGCTCTCTGCAGGCTGCCCGGGTCCTTCTTTATGATGATTCTCTGTGTTTCCTGTGCGCTTGTTCCATCTGTCTGCTTGTCTGTCTGTCGGTCTGTCTGTCTGTATGTCTGTCTGCCTGCCTGCCTGCCTGTCTGTCTGTCTGTCTGCCTGCCTGTCTGTCTGTCTGTCTGTCTGTCTGTCTGTCTGTCTGTCTGTCTGTCGGTGTGTCTGTCTGTCTGTCTGTCTGTCTGCTGGGATCTCGCAACTCGTCACACGCTGTACCGACGTGTGTTCCAACAGTCATCCCTAAGTCTACCCGTAAGTTTCTGAAGTGCCCTGTGTCAGCTTCTGCTGCAGCATTAGCTGCTGGTCGTGTGAGACCAGATATTTTAACGTCAATATTTAAAGTTAAGGATTTCCGGATTTTTGTGGGTTAGTGGGGTGAAATTCTAACGAATTCCGTCTCAAAACCGGCATACAGTATTGGTGTTGTAGTGTCTGGTGCTGCTGCTTGTGGCTGCTTTAGCTAGGAACCTTTGTGCCCTTCAATGCAAAACCTTCTTTCTGTGGGAAAGGAGGAAGGAATAGACGTTTCCGACGCCGTGATATTGTGGTAATTGTGTCCGTCTCTGTGTCTGTGTCTGTCTCTCCATCTGTGTCTGTGTCTGTGTCCCTGTGTCTCTCTGTCTCTCTCTCTCTCTGTCTCTCTCTGTCTCTCTCTGTCTCTCTCTCTCTCTCTCTCTCTCTCTCTCTTTCTCTCTCGCTCCTCTCTTCATTACCCAGAATGCGACGCAAGCAAGGTAGCAACGTTTGAAACAGGCACAAACGGCTGGGTGCAGGAGTTTAGTGATCAGTTTGACTGGCGACGTGACGCAGCCGGTACTGGCAGTCTGCATACCGGACCTGCCACTGATCATACCTACGGAAATAACTCCGGTAAGAAGAAGTAAAAACAATAAGAGGACGGAAAAATGTTTTAACTCCAAGTTTCTCGCACTAAGCGATCATCAGAAAACAGTACTGAGTCAATTGATAGCGACAACACCAGCACCACCAGCACCACCAGCACCACCACCACCAGCACCACCACTGCCATCAGCACTACCACCACCAACACCAACACCACTACCACCACCACCTAACAACAACAACAACAACAACAACACCAACAACGACGACGACTGCGGCAACAAATTTCTTGAGCACAATAACTCCTTACAAAGATGTTGTTTCGGGAGGAAGTGTAGCAAGACTGAGTTGACCTGGATATACGATGCGAAGGAGGCTTGAAATCACAAGTTTGTGAAATCAGTTTGTCAGTTATTCGTACTGTTATCAGTTGAGCGGCTCTGACTGTGTGTCAGCCCTCTATGCGTGTTCTGTAAGAGTTAAAAGTGTGACGAGCCCAAAGCTTAACGATTTGCCATTTTCTCCCACTTGGCGGGTACAAAGTCTACCGACCCTGCCATCACACACCCGTCTTCTATTTCTCTAGTACACAAGAGTCAAGGAACAGCACACTAGTAACGTTGCTTGAGTTAGCGATGGATTTTCTCTCTCGTTAAAACGCTATACTTTGTACCCTGTTGGGGATTCAACTCTTACAGTATAATTGTCACTGATGCCTATGTGCCCATTGCTTCTAACCAATGCTACTGCTGCTGTCACCGTTGTCGTTGCTCGTTCTGCTGCTGTTGCTGCTGCTACTGCTGCTGTTGCTGCTGCTGCTGCTGCTGCTGTTGTTGCTGTTGTTGCTGCTGCTGCTGCTGCTGATGTTGCTGTTGCTGCTGCTGCTGTTATTGCTGTTGCTGCTGCTGCTGCTGCTGCTACTGCTGCTGTCGCTGTCGCTGCTGCTGCCTTCACTGCTGGCTCCGTTGCTACTGCTCCTGCTGCTGTTTCTGTTGCATACCTTTCTTTCAGGGTACTACATGTACATTGAGACAAGCGGCCAGTCGTCAGGCGATAAGGCTATCCTCCGTTCACCACAGTACCCAGTCCCCGATACCTTGTGCAAGGTAATCGACTCTCGTACTCTTTTCACTTTGAAGTTGGGCGATTCTGACAGTACTCTGCTATTCTGGGACTCCAAACCCACTCGTTTTTTTCTATTCTGATGTTTGCTTTTATCGTATCCAACACGAGATATGATAACTGTTTTGGGATTTGCAACGGATTTGTGGCCACACACGTGTGTGTGTGTGTGTGTGTGTGTGTGTGTGTGTGCGTGCGCTCGTGCAATTCGTATGTGCACGTGACCATACGTGTTTGTTTGTCTGTCGTGTGTGTTTCTAGTTCTCCTTCTGGTACCATATGTACGGTAGCACTATCGGCACACTTGAGGTGCAGATCAAGGTAAGAAATGACGCCGCATTGTTATTGTTTCTTCAGAATTCTCACTTGTGTAGGGAGCAACCCACTCTTCCCCTACTATCGCCGAAGTCGCACCAACCTCTTCTTCACATTGTTATTGTTATTACAGTGAAACTCCCCAGATCCGGCCGCCCCTAATCCGGGCAATTGTATGCAGGGCACCTTTCTGACCCATCTACGGTCACGAAGATTGGCCTTTCAACGAAAAACGACCCCAAAACCTGTTGGCTGACATAAAAAAATTCACCAAATGTTCGGCGCATATTTATTTTCGGCTATTTTCGGCCTGGGCATTTTTGGCCGAAACATTTTTTGCCGCCGAAATTTTGTTTTGCAAGGTTCAGTGTGACAGTCGACTGTATACAGGCGGCAGCAGTGCAGGCCGAAAAATTGTTGCAGCCGAAATGTGTTTTTGCCCTGGGAGGCCGAAATTTAAATGTGCCGAACATTTATAGCCTTACAGTGCTCCTGTTAGTGTAATTTCACAAATTTTCGGCGTACTTTTATTTTCGGTACTTTCGGTGCGTCTGTTTCATACCTAAAATTTCAATACACCGAACAAACACTAACGCACATAATCCAATAGGGAACTGCTTCTCTGCACCGAAAATTTCTGTTCACCTAACCTAGCCTGTTGCCCTCATACCGAACATATTGAGCACCGAAATTTTCTGAAATTAGAGTATTGTAGAAAGGAAAGGGATGTATGGATTCGAGTTAAGAGTAACTCTCCACCACTGTAACTAGATACTATTATACAGTCAGAAAGTGCAACAACTAGGCACAAAACTGACAGAGTACTGAGACATTCGACGACCCGACACATATGATGACATATGACGTATGTTCGTTTCCTTTCTACACTTATTATTGGCTCGACCTGCGAGTTTCATGTGTTGCACTCGTGTCATTGTCTTTTGTCAGATCGGCTCTACGACACGATCCCTGTGGAAGACGTCTGGTGACCAAGGTGACGTATGGAGGAATGCAAAGGTTCCCCTGGGAACGGTCAGCGGACCATTCACGGTGAGTTCTTTATTATTAATATTTCTGTATTCGCACGATGGTTTACAGTAAGCTATTGAATACTGAACACAAGTAGGTAGTAATTGTATGGGTTGAGTAACAGCCAGGACAATTCAGGAGTAAACGTAACAATTGCAACGAACCTCTTAGCTGATCATGTTGCCGCTGCTGCTGCTGTTGTTGCTGCTGCCGCTGATGTTGCTGCTGCTGCTGCTGCTGCTGTTGCTGCTGCCGCTATCTTGTCTTGTCTGCTCTTCTCTTTTCTTCATGTTGTTGTTATCGTTGTTGGATTGCCGTTCTTCCCTGCACAGCTGAGCATCATCGGCTCGAAGGGAACGAGTTTCACCGGCGACATTGCGATTGACGATCTCGGCTGGGATGCCATCTCCTGCAATTGCGTTCGTAAGTTTTCTTGCCGTATTTCCCGGAGTATAAACCGCACTGGAGTATAAGCCGCTCCCAGATTTTTGGTCATGAAACACAGGCATCTGTCCGATTTGTCACCGTGAACTTAACCATCGTAGCACAAGGCGTGCCGGTTTCTCTTGGCGATTTGGTGGTGTTTCAAGTGTGGCTTATACTCCGGGAAGCAGGGTGCATCGAAGTGAGGATGGGTTTTGATTGCTGCTAGTATTAGCGACTAAGGAAACCCCGGGCGCGTTTCTTACAAACCCCTCTTTTCAGCTTGCTCAGTGAAGTTGCTGTCGTGTGTGTGTGTGTGTGTGTGTGTGTGTGTGTATGTGTGTGTGTGTGTGCGTGTGTGTGCATGCGTGTGTGTGTGTGTGTGTGTGTGTACGTATGTGTGTGTGTGCGTGCGTGCTTGCACACACTTTTTTTTCCCCTTTTGCAGACTGCTCTGTTCCAGCCAACACTGCCTGGACATCCGGCTGGCAAGGTTACACTCAATTCACCGGCGACGACTTTGACTGGACCCGGCGTCAGGGTTCCACGCCATCGTTTGGAACAGGACCCACCCGTGACCATACAACCGGCTCTAGCTCCGGTTAGTGCTAATAATAATTATTATTTTAGAATAACTCGGATACTGAGCCAGTATATATAATTAAAATAGAAGAAATCACATGGAAAGGAGTTATGAAGCAACTGGAGACGTGTTAGGGCTAGGTCTCAGGTCATTGAATGTCTCAATAGCTTGTCATTTTTGTGTCCTGTTATTGCACTTTCTGACTGCTTATTATCTTGTTGTTGTTTGAAATCTTTTATTCTCACGATGGCCTGTGGCCAATAAGAGAAAAATAATTACAGGCACGGGGATCGGATACAGAGAGATCAATGTTTAGCTGCTCGTTGTTGTTGTTGTTGTTGTTGTTGTTGTTGTTGTTGTTGTTGTTGTTGTTGTTGTTGTTATTGTTATTATTCTTTTATTCCACGATGGCATGACGCCAATAAGGTTGTTGTTGTTGTTGTTGTTGTTGTTGTTTTCATGTCGCTGGTTTCTTTGCTTGTTTGCTGCAGGTTGGTATGTGTACATTGAGACCTCCCTGCCACGGAACAGAGGACATGCGGCCGCCATCATCTCGCCATCTTACACACCCACGGTACGTACGAGTACAGACTGTGTGTGTACGGGTGTGTGCGCGCGTGTGTGTGTGTGTGAGTACTAATTCTTCTACAGAGACAGTTAATCTCGTCGGTGTTCTTCTTAAAACAAAGTTTCACTCCATCACGGTAGCCTTACAATGGCATGGATGCCGTGAATGGGATTTTCGGTCTTTGACCACTTTGGTGGTGGGTCTGATCTACTCGCCTCCCACCACTTAGGAGCTACAATTGCGCCTTGATCTATAGAGGGCGGTGGCGCTCCTGCGGATGCGGAAAACTCGGCTGGTGTCCAGCCGAGTCTTGCGGACCGTGAAGTGTTTTCAATGACTGCTACTTGAAAGTTCTCTTCGGACAGTCTTGCAAAGGGTGTTGTGCAGTCTTGTGGGCTGCTCGGTTGTGGTCAACCTGCTGAACGCTGTTTGCTGTTTTCTTCTTCCGATTTTCCTGTGCCCCGTGCAGAAAGGTGGCTGTTCAATGAGCTTCTGGTACCATATGTACGGAGCAACGACCGGTGCGTACAGTGTGTGTGTGTGTGTGCGTGCGTGTGCGTGCGTGCGTGTGTGTGTGTGTGTATGAGCGGAGTCTTCAACGCAATGTGCTCGTGAGAGCAGCAACATGACATTGTACAGCCCGGTACACATGTACTTAGTGTGCGGTTGTAAGTTTTGTTTGACGGTTTGAATTTAGTATCGCAACCGGGAGGACTAGCTGAAGTGACATTGAGTTAAACAATATCAATCGATGGAATGGAGTGTTGTACGAACACTTGTTCGAATCATCCTTTTTCCATCGCTTTTTCTTCTTATATGTAAAATTTTCTCCTTACCCTAAAATTGATGGAATTTACCGAGTTTTTATTATTGCAGGCTACATATGCGTATACGTATACATGTGTTGTGCCCTGATCCCTTCCTGTGCGTACTGTGTGTCTGCGATTGCCGTGTCGTGCCGTGCAGGCACTCTTAACGTCTTCATTCGCGTGGGCGTGAGGCGTGTCAGGCTATGGACGCTGAGCGGCAATCAGGGAAATTCGTGGAAGAACGCCGTGGTCCCGTTCTTTGCCGACGGCGCATACCAGGTTAGTCAACACTGATGATCATGATGATTCTTGCTGTGCAAATAGAAAGTAAAACCTGGTTTAAGCGACCACCCCACGGCGCAAGCAAAAGCGGTCATTAAAGCCAGGTGGTCTTTAG